CGCAGCCGCTGCAGTCGATCCGGTTCCACCTTCCACCGAGGAGCCAGACAGCCCAGACATTCCCCTTCGAGAAACCATCCAAAGCCGCCATCGCGCAGTGTCCAATCCGGAGTCCGGAGCCCTTAACGTTTCCCATCCATTTATCCCATCGCCAATACACTCAGAGTCCATTCCCTCATCATCGTCCGGCCTCGTCGAAATTCCCTCCAACAATATCAGCACTCCGGAGTTAATTCAGCCGCCTCCCATCGGTACTGTCACAATGTCGGACACCCTACCCTCTCGCTACGACAAGCACGCACCTCGCTTCGATCCGGAGCAGCCTCGGACCTTGCTCCGCTATTTCGAGGACCTGGCGGACTTATTTGCCGCTCATCCAAATGCGGTCCCGAATGACGCAACGAAAAAGGCGGTAGTGGTGAAATACGTGCCTATGTATGAGGAGGAGCTATGGAAAGGCGTCCCAGAATTTTCGGACGACTCCAAGAGCTTCGAGGACTTCAAGGGAGCGGTCTTGGCGTTATACCCTGCCGTTAAGGAGGACCAGAGATATAGCGTCGGGGATATGGACCGTGTAGTAGGGGAAAGGCAGCGTGTGGGCATCCACAATTTAGCAGACTTAGCGGCATTCCATCGCGATTTCCTGCTCATCACTCGCTACCTCCGCAAAAACGACATCATATCCGTTCGAGAGCAAGGGAGAGCGTTCCAGAGAGGCTTCCAGCCGGAGTTATGGAACAAAATATTCAGGCGCCTCCAGATCAAGGACATAGACCACCAACCGGACACTCCGTACAATGTAGACGAGGTTTACCAGGCGGCGGAGTTTATTCTTCATGGAACGTCGGCCATAGGAACCACAGAAAAGCATGTGGAACCGTCTCGGAGTGCTCCGAGTGCACCGGTGGTGAAGACGGAGGACCTATCATCGTTGGTGGAAGTCATCACAAAGTCAATCAGTCAAGCGCTAGTAGCCGCGGTTCAGCAGAACGCTGCGATGGCCCCTGCGACGTCCAGCAGACCTGCCCCCATGAATTACCACTGCATTTATTGCGGGGAGAGCGACCACTCGATCCGGAGGTGTCCCAAGGTTGAGGAGGATATTAGGGCCGGTCGGTGCAAGCGGAACGCGGAGGGACAAGTGGTCCTGCCAAGCGGAGCAATGGTCTCAAGGTCTATGCCAGGAGCGACGATGAGGGACCGCATATTAGAGTGGCACCGCCAGAACCCTGGGCAGACAAGTGTCCATTTATTGGATACAATGATATGGGAAGAGGTGCAAGCGTCGGCGGCCCCACAGACCACAGACATGTTCCATTTGGACCAGCAGGAGCGAATTGAGGCCTTGGAGCGGGAATTATTTGCGTTGAGAGGGAAAGGGAAGCAAGTTTTTGACGGAGTCTATGTTCCTCCGCCAAATAGGTCTTCCAACCCCTCCAAGGAGTCCGGAGTTGGTCCGGCAGGTCCCGCATCCTCTAGAGCCAAGAGTCAACCGGTACGAGAGCAGCCAGTGGCCGAAGCAGTGCGGCCGGCAATAAATCGAGAGTCCCCACCTCACATGTCAGAGGGACCAATCCATCCATTTGCCGGTGCAAGGGACGTCAACAGGCCCAGGCAGGCGATTCCTCGGAGCGTCGAGAAAGGCTCGGCTCAAGCAGCAGAAGCGTCACAAGCCAAGGAGCCAGCCTATCGCACCCAGGCCCCTGTCTATAATCCTCGCATCTCGGACCTGGTGTTTGAGCGGTCACTCAAGACTCCGAATATTTCTTTGACCTCTGAGGAATTATTATCCATCGCTCCGGAGGTCCGCGCGAAATATAGGGACATTGTGACACCCAAGAAAGTGCCCGCGTCGCCCGCTGTTCGACTCCAAGCCACTATACAGGAAGTGGAGGACGAAGACGATGGTCCGGAGTTGCCGGACGTGGAGCAATTAATTCACAGCGGTAGTTCGATCCGTCCTGGAGTGTTGGTGGTGCCCGATCCCTATGAAATTTATCTCCGGAGTCTAGGTCCGGGGGAGACGCCGAAGCAACTAGTCGTGGCCAAGGAGTCTCATGCGTTGCGGTCCATTATGGGCCTCATAGACAACCAGGAGAAGGTCGAGGCGATTTTAGATCCAGGTTCTCAGATCGTAGCAATGTCAGAGGCGGTTTGCCATTCACTGGGACTTCAGTACGACCCTACGATTCAGCTCCAGATGCAGTCGGCGAACAAAACGATCGATATGTCGTTGGGACTGGCGCACAATATTCCCTTCCAGGTCGGAGATATTACCGTTTACCTCCAGATCCATGTTATTAGGGATCCGGCCTACGACATTTTATTGGGACGTCCCTTTGATGTATTGACCGAAAGCTGCATCAAGAATTTTAAAAATGAGGACCAGACGATCACGATCAACGACCCCAACTCCGGAATTGTTTCCACCATTCCAACCTTCCCAAGAGGTCGCCCTCGATTTCGAGGCCCCGCCTCTAGAGCGGGATGATTTATTTTTAGGCGACTCAGACGAGGAGCAGTGGGCGGCCCTTGTCGTCGAAGAGACAGATACCCCCGCCCGGTTTCAGATTTCTGCGTTCCATATTTTAGATCATCAAGAAAATAGCAAAACCTCAATACAAGATTCCATTCCTTTCCTTTATCTCTCCGCCTGCGAGTCTTCAGTGGTCCGGTCTTATTTTTCATCCGCTAATTTATTCAATGGCGTACCGAATTCGCCAGTTCCGATTTTTGCTGCCACAAAGAAAAAGTATAAACCAGTCGCCAAGAAGGTCCGAGCAGTCCCTGCGACGTTGCCCAAGGAGTATAGAATCCAGCGCAATATTGTAGGAGACCCGCTAGCCGACATGCCGATTTTATCCACAATTCCCCCTTCCTTCCAGCCAACCGGACGACTATTCACAAGAGCGTAGGG